GGGGGCGATCGTGGCCTTCGTTTGGTGGGGCTTGATTGCGGGGTGGTGTGCGTCGGCGATTGTTCCTGGGATGGTCAGTTCTTTGTCTCTGTGGGGGACGGGGGTCTGTGAATCGGCTGAGGCGGCCCTGGCGGATGAAGGTCTCGATCTGGTCTTTGAGGTTAATGCACTCCTCGGTATTATGGCCATGGTCTTGGTGGAAGCGGCAGTATTTGGACTGATCTTTCCGGGTGGAAGGGTTTCGGGACGGTAGGGGCCATTTGAGGGGGTAGTCCCGCTGGATCTGATTGAGGACGTGCTCCATGGTGGAGTTGAGAGGGGTGTACCGCTCGAACCGACCGGGCGGTCGGGTCGGAGTCGACCGGTCAGTGCGGGGGGGGCGGTCATTATAGTGGGGTGTTTGGCTATTATACTGGGCGGTTCTGGGCTCGGAGTCTTTCCTCTTTTCTCTGGGAGTCGGATTTTTAGGAGTCGGCTCTTGTCGAGCGGCCAGGGAATCTTCAGCATTTATGTATCTCTGGGCTTTGGACAGTAGAGCTGCCATGGTGGTTGGAGGGTTTTTGGAGAGGGAGAAAAGGAAATCAGACGACCGCAGGCCGGCCATAAAGGCGGTGAGGATGACCTTGTCGTCATTCTCCGCTACTTGAAGGGCTTCGGTGTTGAAGCGGGTAACAAAGCTGCGGAGCGACTCCCCCTCGGTCTGACGAATGTTAAGGAGCTGGGTGGCTGGGCGCCTCTGACGCTGGGCTCCAATAAAATGGCTCAGGAAGGAGTCACTGAGGTGTTGAAATGTGGACACGGAGTCCGCCGGTAGCTGGCTAAACCACAGTCGAGCTGATCCCTTTAGTGTCACTGGAAAAGCTCGGCACATGATCTCGTCAGGGAAGGCATGGAGGACCATGAGGGTGCGGTAGGTTTCCAGATGGTCGACTGGGTCCGTCGTGCCATCGAAGGAGTCAATGGTAGGCATCTTGAACTTGGCAGGCAATGGTTTGTCGCGGATGGAGGCAACAAAAGGCGAGTTGGTGGTGGCTGAGGGCTTGTGCTGAATGTTCTGCATGACCCCTTGTAGTTGGAGTTTCATAGCTCGGATTTCGGCGTCCCAGAGGGGAATGTTGTCGCCATGGTCGGCCAATGGAGGCTGGACACTGCTAGCTTCCCCCTCAGGAGTCAGTGCTGCGATTGGTGGGTGTGGAGGTGGAGGTGGTAGGTTGTCATGTTGGGGAGGAAGGAGTTGCGAACCTTCGGGGTTAGGCGGAGGGGGCTGTGGAGCAGTATGGCCTGGGGTTGTCCCTTGGTTGGGTGGAATGTTTGGAGGTGGAACGGGGGGGTTTCTTTGGAGTAACGCATTGATCAGGGCCTGGTTTTGCTTGGCCATGCAGTTAATGCTGTTGGTGAGCTCGATGATGTACTGTGGTGGGTTGGTTGGGTGGGAGGGATCTGTTTGGTGATCGGCGGCGTTGTGGTGAGAAGCCATGGACCTAGTCGTGACCATACACCTAGACAGGCAAAAGGAAAAGGTGATGGTGAGAAGGGAGGGCTCCGGCGGTAGTGAACACAACTAGCGCGCGAATAAACCAGTAACTTCCCACAGACGGCGCCAACTGATAAGGTTCTGGTTCCCGAGATTGAGAGAGAGAGATAACTTAACCTTATTCTTGTCCTCCTCCCCTTCCTTATATTCTTTAGTTATCATTTTTCCTGTCTCTTGTGACGTGCTTTTCTTCGCCGAAAGCCTGTGCCGTAGCTTACCTTGTTCAGGGTGATGGGGCTCTGTTCCGGCGGGGGGGTGTTGTCGTAATAAATGCCGTGATGGGATGCATTAATGGTGATGTGTTGTGATAATAACTCTGCAGATCTTTGTCTGCTGATGTGGCCCGTGTCCCACCTGCCATGTGCCCAAATGCCATTGGCCCTCCATGTCTAGATGGCCTCCAGTTGTCCTGGGCTTTGCCAACCGGGTTATGCCATTGGTCCCAAGCGATGGGTTTGGGGTGGTTTATTGTGGGCCGTATGCCTTGTGGGCCTATCCATGTCAATATATATAATCTAACAATATAATGATATTAATAAAGTATAATAAATTATTAACTTTATCATTGTAAACTCTTATTATATATATCTTAACTTTAACTTATTATTCTTGAAATCTTAGTATTTTTTTAACTTTTTTATTTTTGTTAATCTAGGAATTGAAAAGTAATTAAATGGATGGATTTGATATATTTGAAATTGTGGAAAAATAACTAATTTAATATTTTTATGTAGATTAGTAAAAGTGGCTCAAGTTTGAAAGATCTTAAACCGATTAAACCACACCGAACTGAACTGTTTTAATTGATTCGGTTCAGTACGGTTTGATAGGAGATGCAGTCTGTATCAGTATTCAAAATAATAAAACCGACATTATCGGTTCGGTGCAATTTTTGACCTAAATACCGATCGTACCAAACCAATTATATCCATACCCAAGGGGTTGGCCTAGTAGGTGCAGTTTGGAGTCAGTTCGGAGTCTGAGAGTGTGGTATCAACTTTTTAGGGCTGGGCTACGCCCATAGGCTCCACCTGAAATTTACCCGATTCACATGAAGGGGCGCTTTGCATGAATTCTAAAATTAGTTGAGTTACGCCTAAATTAATCTAGACACTCGATTAAAAAAAATTAAAAAAAGCAGCAAAACCGACACATTCATAACACAATACAACTGTTACTAAAAAAATAAGGTAAATGACAAATACACTCCTTGAGATTTGCCTAAAATACTTATTGCTCCATGTGGTTTGAAAATTACAAATACTCCTTTATTAAAAAATTTTATTTAACAAAATTAACTAAAAAAATGAAATTCATAATTGTTCTCCCATACAATAATAAAATTATCTAAATTATTAATTGAAACATATTTTTAACATTATTAAAAATTATTAATTGACATGATGATTTATTATAAAATGGGTTATTTGTTATGAAATTTGAAACTTTAGATAGTAGAATGTAATTTTTAAAATTATAAAAAACGATTCATATTTTAATGAAATTTCAGAGATATATTTGTAATTTGCCCTAAAAAAATATACGTATGACAATTGAAGTTTTAAAAGTAGGTAATTTTTTGTACCCAAAAAAAAAGTAGGCAATTTTGAAGTGGGCAACGGAGATACGGCTAAAATTAAAAAGATAACGGATAGCCTCGATTGGCATGAAAAAATTCGGGACTAGAGGTTAAAATAGTCACAAAGAGATAAAATAAGATAAAAAATTAATAAAATAAAATATCATATTTAAATTATAATTATTTTATTTTTTATTTTTTATAAAAATCAAAAAAGTCAACAAGTCCATCACAAATGAAACTTTTTAATCTCAAATTAAAATAATCAAAAATTAAAAAGTCAACCCATCACAAACGAAACTCTATAGTTGGTAAAAAAATTAAAAAGAAACGAACAGGGCAAGAATCTTTCTTAAAAAGGCTGTCATAAATTTTTGGGTAAATTATGATAGTAATTTTTATTTTTTTGTGTCATTTTAATTCATATACTTTCAATTGATTCAATTTTAATCATAAATTTATAATTTTATCTTAATTTGACTCAATTGATTACAATTCTTAATATTTTTTTATGAAAAATCTGCACATAAGTTTCACGTGCCATTTTTTAAAGGCAAAATTATAAACTTATTCAACTCAGTTAGTTAATCTCAACAAATTTAGTGATAAGTTTTCTTAAAAAACACTAATGATATTATTAATTTGCCCAGATTGAAACAAAATCTAAAAATAAGAATCAAAATTGAGTCAATTAAAAGTGTAAAAATCAAAATGACACAATGAGTAAAATATAGGGACTATCAGTGTGATTTGTCCTAAATTTATTTCTTTTGAAAGCCAAAAAGTTATCATAAATTGTCACATCACTATTTATTTTACTATACATTTTTTTGTAAAAAATCAAAAAATTACTAAAACAACATATTTCTAAACGAGGCCTGACGCAAATTAAATACAGCTTTACATAAGATTATTAAGAAATTCTAATATACACCCCTTTAAAAAGGGTGTTTCATATGGACATCTAGTTATGTCATTTCTTTCTTTAGTTATACCAAATTTTCAAATTTTCTTCTTTAATTATGATATTATTTTAGTTATGACTCATAAATTTTTTAATTATACCTCATATTGTGTTTAATTATAACAATTTTTATTTCAATTATAACTCAAAAAATTAAATTTATGTCATTTTTATTTTTAATTATACGGTCCATATCCCTTTATTAGAAGATTAACAAATATTGATTTAACTCAAATTATGGGCAAATAATTTGATTGCCAAACATACAACAAAGTATATATGTACATAATTGAATTTAAGAAAGTAGGTTGTCTGGGAAGTAAGAAAATAGTCCAAAAAAATTAAAAATTAAAAATTAAAAAGTCTCCATTAAAAAGTCAATTTTTCTTTTTATTTGCCTTTTATAAGTATAGAAAACGTTTGGTGACCTAAATTTTTGTGGCTCGAATGGTTTGCATGTGTAAAAACGACGTTGTTTTGGGTGTTTCGAGGTATATTTTTTCAGACCACCTAACATTATTGATTAAAATAATCCATTCTTAAAAGAATGCAGTATCCATCAACACATTTATACTGATGCAACAAAATGATAAATTTTAGTTAGTTGGCCTTTTTAACAAATCAATAATGATGCAAAAATTCAAGTAGTTTGGATAAATTATGGTACTGACAAGTATACTCTCGGTTTTTTTTTTTTTTTTAGACTTAATTCATGTTATTTTTTTAAAAATAAAAATAAAATTATACAAATAAATAATTTGTCCAAAATTTTTTAGTCATTCACGTGACACCTATTCTGCACGATACATTCGTTACTAAAACAGGAATTTGGTCATTTCTATAACATTTTACTATTTTAAAAACAAAGTCGGCATATAAAGAAATAAAAAAATTTAACTTTTAACCCGGAAAAGGTAGAAAAATTAGAAATACCATACCAAGAGGACAGCCTTCATATGATCTTTAGCTAGATGGAGAACAGTGGTCCGATCCTTAGACAAACCAAGCATGACATCAATGATGTCTTCATGCTTCGGCTTGGGCCTAGTAGGATCAAGATGTTCTTCCAGAACCTTCTGAAAAAACGTATCAAGATTCTTAAAACACCTTTCAAGCTTCCATTGAAGCCCCGTAGCCAAATCCAGCACCGAGCCAACTCCAGGAAAAAAGTCCGACGGTGAAAAACCACTGAGCAAAGTCATGGCATCGTCAATTATATCTTTCAATTTACCGTACTCGAATTGGTTCCCTCTATGACTCGTCCCAAAAGCTATCTTCCCAATCACATTGTTCGTGACAGAGAATATCATGTCACTTAGATCAACCGGGTTCGGAGCCGATTTGGCTATGGTGGAAATCAAGTGCTCAACCTCTGATTCCCTAACATGCCAAAATGATTGAACCCTTTTGGCAGTGAAGAGTTCTATGACACACAGCTTTCTCATCTCTCTCCAGTACTCTCCATATGGAGAAAAGGCTAGGTCAAGAAAGTTGTAGGAGAGTTTTCTTTGGCCACGAGAGAGAGGCCTAGTGCAACAATCTAGGTCATGGGTTTTTAGGACCTCTTTAGCTAGTTCTGGGGTTGAGACCACTAGGGTTGGAACTTGACCTAGTTGAAGAAGCATGATGGGTCCAAGTTTTTGTGATAGTTTCCAGAATGTGTAGTGAGGGATTTCACCAACTTGGTGGAGGTTGCCTATGATGGGAAGCTTTCTAGGGCTTGGAGGGAGTTTGGCTGTGTATTTGTTCTGTTTGGTAAGAAGGGTAAAGAGGGTGAAGAGAAGAGGGAGGGTTAGGAGGGTGATTGTGAGAAGCCATGGAGGAAGGGTTTGAGAGAAAGAGAAGAAACCCATGAGTAATGTGATGGGATCAATGGCAATGGAAGTGAGATGCTTTATTAGAGAAGAGATGTGATGAGAGGTGATTTAGCTGTCAAACTGTCTTAATGTCACTTGTTACGGAGTTTTATTGCGTTGCCATCTTTTCATTTGTCTGTCAGTGATCACGGGTCAATAGCCAAGTATTTTGAGCAAAGTTACATGGTCAATAATTTATGTATAGAAACAGAAATATATTTAAAGCACATTGCTATATAAGTTTGAAAATAAAATTCAATTTTTAAATTTAATGATATGATAATTAATTAGGATATTTAAGGCAATATATTCTCTGATTTACTTTCAATTATCAATTAATCATATCACTTATATATTATTTAATTTGGAAAATAAGTCTAAAAAATAGACTTATATATCATTTTTTTATATTTAAATAATTAAAAAAAAAAAAACAATGCGTGATTTATGTCTTTTATATTTGTGAACCGGAATGTTCGGTTGAGCCGTGGAAATCATTATGGGTCTTGCATGGATAAGTTTTGATTAATTTTATTCTGTAAGTCGTTTGAAAAAAGTATTAATTCAATAATTTTTACTATATAAGTTTTGAAAAAATAAATAATTTATTTTTAAAGTTAATCTTACCATTCATTTATTAAAGAAAAATATAAATATATATATATATATATATATATGAGTATTGTTATCAAAAAAAGATTCACAAATGGGGCCATTTCCCTAAATAAGCCAAATTATCAATTCAATTCTCAAACTAAGCCTAGTTTTGAAAGATTTTCCAAAATAGGCTAAAACGTGGTTCACAACCACGCTTTCACGTCTGTGTGCCTGTCCCGCGTGAAAATTGGGAAGTCTTAAAAGCGTGATTAGAAAACGCGCTTTTAATTAAAAAAGCGCGGTTACAAAAGACGCTTTTCATTAAATATTTTTTCTTCTGAAATTGCTGTTCTGAACCACGCTTTTAACTTACATTTTTTTTTCTTCTGAAAGTGCGGTTGTGAACCACGCTTTTAACCAATTTTATTTTATTTATTTTATTTTTTTATTTTTATTTTTTTATTTTTTTTCTGAAATCGTGGTTACGAACCACGCTTTTAGCTTAATTTTTTTTCTTCTGAAAACGTGGTTATGAACCACGTTTTTTGGCAAAAAAAAATTTTCTTCTAAAAGTGTGTTTCTGAACCACGCTTTTTATACGATTTTTTTTCTTTAAGTGAAAGCGTGGTTTTTAAAACTTATATAAAATCTCCCCAGCCCCGTCTTTTGCAATCACGCTTGTTACATCTCGATGCCTGCTCTCTCTCTCGCTCTTACTGCTCTCTCTCTGTCGCTATGCTCAAGCTCCCTCTGCTTCAGTACTGTTGCTCTCAGTGCTCTCTCTCGTTGGTATGGCTTCTGTCTCTCTCTTTTGATCTACTTTAATGCGTTTTTTGTGTTTGTGAAAATGTGAATGTGGGTATAATGTTGGTAGAATAGGGTTCATGAATGTGAAAATGTTGTCAAATCAGAAATAATAAATTAGGGTTAGGGTTTATAATTGTGAAATCAGAAATTACGATTACGGTTTGAGAAATTAGGGTTTTGAATTGTGAAATCTGTTTAAAAATTTGTGAAATCTGTTTAGAAATGTGAAATCTGTTTATAATTGTGAAATCTGTTGAATGTGAAATCAGATTTTCTATATATTGAATGTGAAATCAGATTTCTATTCAATGTGACATCTGTTGAATGTGAAATATGTTGAATGTTGAATCTGTTTAGAAAAATTTAAATATTATGTTTGAAATGAGAAAATGAGGGTTATGGTTTTCAATTGAATGTGAAATCAGAAATGAGGGTTTTGGTTTTGAATTAGGGTTTTGAGTTGATGAATGTGAAATCATTTTTCAATTAGGGTTAGGGTTTTAAATTGTGAAATCAGAAATGAGGGTTATGGTTTCAGAAATTAGGGTTTAAGAAATTTATGATAAGTTAAATTTTTTTAATAATGTTATATGATTTTTTTTAGGAACAAATAATTTTTAGGAACAAATAATTATCTATAATAATAATAATTTTCTTGTATATTATTATGGTAACTAACTTTATAATTTCTTGGAAAAAAACATGGCAAAACACAAGAAAATCTAATTTTGTCTATATAAAAATTATCTATAATTAAAATTTCAAAATTTTCTATCCCTTTCTTTCAAAATTTCCAAATTATTATTTTTTTTTTTCTTTCACTTTCACTTTTCACAAATTTTTCCTTTTAATCAAAACATATTTAAGGAATAATCATAACATTCTCTTTTATTTTCATTCCAATAAATTAAGCACAACCTAACAATATTTACGATATATTAAAAAAAATAAAAATAGAATCATATAATATATATCTGTGTCATACAAAATTGAATTACAAGGAACTTTGTTTAAAGTTGTCATGGTTAGTCCAGTACTAATTATCCTGAGTCCATAGATCCAACTGATCATTATATCATTTTTTCTTTCTCTATTATGGAAAGTATAAGGGGATGTTTGGCATAAAAGAAAAGCAAGTTCAGCCAAAAATGTATGAGGAGAAAATTTAAGGGAAAGGGGGAGAAAATTTTCAGTTGTAAGAGGGTGGCCGTGTCCTTCGCCGTGAATAGTCTGAGTGAAACCCAAGATGGTCATCGACAACGTTCTTCTGATTGTGAATTACAAATATATTTTATAGGGTTTTCAATTGTGAAATCAGAAATTAGGGTTATGGTTTCAGGAATTTGGGTTTTGAATTGTGAATCCCGTATATATTTATTACATTGTGAACTGTGAATTCTATCTATGTTTTTACAAATTAGGTTTTTGAATTTTGAATTGTGAATCCTGTCTATATTTTTTGAATTGAAAATTTAATTTTTGATTGCTTCTTAGTCCTGTCGATATGGTTAAATCTTGTTATTCCTTCGCTTATCTCTTCAGCTTCATCATTATCCTGTATATATTTATTGCATTGTGAACTGTGAATTCTATCTATTTTTTTACAAATTAGGTTTTTGAATTTTCAATTGTGAATCCTGTCTATATTTTTTGAATTGAAAATTCAATTTCTGATTGCTTCTTAGTCCTGTCGATATGGTTAAATCTTGTTATTCCTTCGCTTATCTCTTCAGCTTCATCATTAGGCCATTATAACTAGTACAAACAATTTTTTGGGTTGTTTTAGGAAATAAGTTAAAAGCTAATTTTTTGTATTTTTAAATTTTTTTTTGGAAAAACGTGTAAAAAAAATACTGAAAATGCCTTTTTTACCTCTTTGCCAAAAAATTACCAAAACATTAGAAGTCAAAAAATTTGATATAAATAAATGACTTTTTACAAAAAATTTGATATAAACATTAGATGTCAAAAAATTTGATCCACAAAAAATGTGATATAAACATTAGAGGTGATCCACAAAAAATTAGAAGTCAAAAAATGACTTTTTACCTCTTTGCCAAAAGAGGCCTTTGAAGTTGTTATGGAAAATGCTATTATCAAAACATTTGATATAAATAAATAAAAATTTGTTTAAAAATTATGTTTGAAAAAATTAAAATATTTGATTTATAAAATGACTCATCTCGATAATTTTTACCCACTTGAATTATCCAATCGACTTATTCTCTATGCGCCTGCATTATGTTTATTCAATTAAGTTTTAACTTTTTATGATAGTCGAATGTCTGAATCAGTTTACGTATTTCTGGACTAATCTTACAATCCACACCAAACGTTCCTTCCATGTAGATCCGACAAATCTCAATTAATACCTATAAACATGACACATACTGAAAGTTCAACTTGAGACCTGAAAGGAGCATACCTAATTTTTAACACATAATGAGAGCTCATTAATATTAATGAAACTCAAGTTTGATTCGGTTCAGGTCGATAATTTTTTTGTTATGTTATTTATATTGCTTAAAATTATGAGAGCTCATTAATTTTTTATTTAGGTTATTTCTTACGTTATTTCCCTAAGTTAATTACACCTAAAAACATGAACTTGATTAGTTTGTATCAATATTGTCTTATAGGCCCCGCCGCGTATTTGAGGTGCAAACATCTTTTCGCCGTGGACGAGGCCGCAATAGACAGATTGTGCGGATGAATCAACCCACGTGCAGTTGTGGAAAATATGAGATAAGACACTATCCATGTTCCCATATGTTCGCTGTAATGTTTGAATGCGGTGACAATTCATTCGAGTACGTTGATCTAGTATATAGGCTTCCTGTATACATGAGGGTTTGGGAAACTAAATTCAATTCAATACCGCATCAAGATTATTGGGATGATCCGCAGTGGACCTTAATGCCTAATGTACTTCGTCTGCGAGAAGTAAAACGGGGTCGTACATCTATGGCTCGTATTCCGAATGAGATGGATATATCAGACAGGCGTTTCACAACTCGTTGCAGTCAGTGCCAGCAGACAGGTCATGACAGGCGAAGATGTTCGGCGCGACTTGGTCGATGAAGACTATGTAATACTTACATATTGTAATATATCATTTTGAAATTCTTTATTTGTAATAGATCATTTAATTATGTATTTTTAAATTCTTTATTTGTAAACGGGGTCGTACATTTAAAATGTATGTTACAAAATGTGTACTTGATTCAAAATGTGTAATACAAAATTGAAAATGGGTATAATTTATTCAAACTTGTATAATTTATTGAAAATGTGTACTAGTTTTTCACTGTGTACTTAATTCAAAATGTGTATTACAAGAATCTATACTTAATTACGTAGTTCTTCTACCATTTCAAAATTTCATATTTTTGAATAAATTTAATATCGAATGCTGCAATCATTGTTCACATTTTATAATTTAAAAAATTTACAAATTTTAAAAAAATTAACCTATTATAAATTAAAATTTTAAAAATTGGAATGCTGCAGTCATTGTTCACAATTACAAATTTTATATGTAATTTACAAAATTTATAGTTTATTCAAACTTTTAGCATTACAAAATCAATATT